CTCCGCGCGCCCGGGCGCTCCGTCGACCACCATCCCGCGGCCAATTGGACAGGACAAGAGTCGGTGTGGACTCGTTGGGTGAGAGAAGCGAACCGCCAAAGCCCTTGCCGAGAAGCACGGCAGAAACACGCCCGTGGGAGAAGCAGTGACGAGAGGGAAAAGACTGAAACGTCGGAAGACAAGCAGTCGGACGCTGAGGGGGCAACCCCGCCTTCCTTTTCGAGTCGTCACGATGCCCTCACATGGCACGTAGACGGCAGACGGCAGCCCCTGTGAACGTATAGGCCAAGAAGCACCCTGACCTTCAGACTATCTCCGCGCAGACAGTTGGACGGCAGACCTCAAGGACCGTAGACCCAGCCCTCGGGAGAAGAATCGGAAGGAGGAACAGTGACCGTGGGGAAAGCGCCACAGCAACCCAGGACAGCAGAGGAAGCGACAGGGGGAGCGGGCAGAAAATGTGGCACGGAAGTAGAAGTACAGATAGAGTGACCACGTTCACAAGGGGCAGACTGAACCTATGCTGCTGAATAGAAGCACCCACCGCCCCGGCTACCACATGAAACCTATAAGCATCCTAGATAGAAACCGTTTACAAGTACACTCAACGTAGGGGGCCATGGCACAACGGCCCAGCCCATAGACACCTTTCACGCACGTGATTGAGTGTGGTACTAGCACGGATGGACGGGACGGGAAGAAGTGAGTCATAAGAGACAGCTCGACAGGGGGGAGAGGGTCACGTTTCGATTGGATAGCTTCCACGTAGTGGTTGCATAGCCAGTTGCAGAGATGGACGGGGTGGCAACCCGGACATGGGTGGGGACCCCACAGAGAACGGAGTGTTTAAAGGGCTTGATGCCCGCCCACTTTCTTTCGACAAAACCTGGCAAGGTTCTGATCTCTTCTTATACACCGGGCTGGTTGATATGGTTTGAGCATACGGAGACCTCTCACTTACCAGAGTAAGTTCACGTTTCCGTTCACAATCGATTGTGTGTGTTCCCGGAGGGTTACTACCTGACGACGGGATGGTTGACTCTTTTCCTGAGCCGGGGAGGCTTTACTGATGCTGCCTGCGGCACGACTCGACGATAGGAGAGGGGATAAGAGGAGCCACCGCCCCTCTCGTACAGCAGACGATAAACTTTTTCATGTAGCCCGGGAGGGTTTGGTCGAGAAGACAGTAAGTTGGAACGAGGAAGGAATCTTTCTTTAGGATCCAAGCGGATCGGACAAGAGTCTTGTGGTGGCTTGGTTGGACGGGTGTCCACTCCACTTCCTCTACGCCCTTGACGGGCTCCGATTCGTTTGTTCCGGGGACATATATTGAACATGTGTTCGACAACCCGGGAGGTGTCTCACCACAGGCTTTTGCATGGTCTAAGACCTTGGCGAGATTGTCGAATCATACGGCGTACATGCACAACCCGGTGACGAGAGGAGCCGACGGGAAATGCGACATGGGAGGAGCCTTCTGAACATCCACCTGGCACTTGGGGACACGGATGGAGAGTGGCCGCTCTGAGCAGTCATAGGGCAGCACACTTGAATCGTTTATCGATCGTAGCACATCGTAGACAGAGACACGGGACTGTATAGTACCATCTCTTTGTTAGCAAACATGCACCCAGCAGTGCATTCATTGTAGTAACCCCACTTGCCCCAACGGGACTTGGGAATGGCTTCACTTGTAGATGCTCAAAAGACCGTGTTCATCGCTCAAAGTAGAGTGTGACGATATAACGTACGTAAATGGTGTAGTGCCCGTGACGGTGCTATATTCTTAATTCGTATCGAAACCCTATTTGTTTTTCTTCTTGACGATGGCTTCGCGACCCAGGGGAGCGACACGTAAAGCCTTTACTAGTAGACTATCTACACTCGACCCAAAGGGTCTTTAGAAGAGACCTACATGTAGTTTTAAAAAAGAGAGTCACAATGGCCTCACTGAATGAATGCGACCAGGGAAGGAGCAATAAGTAAAGCATTAACGAGGGAATGACCCTTGACGTAATCTAGTCCCCACAAAGTCACGATGGCCTCACTCAAACGTTTACAAGAGAGCCTGAAAAGATAGTGTACCTGAACCGTTTACAAGAACACTCCTTGCAAACACTACACTTCTTATGATCACCCCCGGAGGGCATATCATGACTACGATAGCAATCCCCCGCAGGGGGTGCGACTGAGCCGAAGGTTCAGGCGTGGACAGCAGCGAAGCGTCACATTCACAATCCTCGACCGAGCAATACGTTTACACGCGAGTCCAACCTACCACGGGATGGAGGACCGCGACCGAAGGGGAGCAAGGGACGAGACCAAACACACAAAAGAACCGGAAGGTCACTATTGCACACAAACAGACCGAGCAGCTACATCCAACACTCTCCGTTGGGCCCGCGACTGGAAGGAGCTGGTCGACCGGAGGGAGCCCTTGGACGACGGGACGGAGGAAAAGGTACGAGCCTGGAGGGCGAAGTTACTGTGGGTGACGGAGTCACTCACTGCATGTGCCCCCTATTACTTAAGTTTGGTTTATAGGGGGCCATGGCACAACGGCCCAGCCCATAGAGCAGGATGAACGCACGTGATTCACTGCAGTACTAAAGCGACAGAGACAGGCGGGAACGGAGCAGTGCTGAAGGCTTGTGTGACGGAGGGAGCACGCCGCGTTTCAATTGGCTAGTTTGCCCGCAGGGATTACATAGCCACTCCACAACTGGCCGGGGCAGGCACCCGGACATTCATGCATCATACGGGAGGTATAAGAGGGGACGCCCGCGCACTTTCCTTGAGTTGGGCAAACTCAAGACTTTTTTATTTTATTCGGAGACAATGACGGAGTCTCATCCTTCCCGTCAACACTTCCGGAGAAGCAAAAGCTTTCCGCGACGGGGAACTGGCGGTCATGAGACCGAGCTGGAGACGTGGCACAGCGAACGGGAGTGAGTGCTTTCTTTTGAGGAGCAGAGAGCTCGTTGAACGGGACGAACAAACTCCCTCGCACTTAGTGGCGTGGCCCCTTGGGAGCATATCCACCCTGGCGGGGTACTAAACCTGTCTGTCGCCCCATCGGAGCCGTTGGTTCGGGTCTCGGCTCTTGGAGAGCGGTGCGGAGTGGTCTTTGCCCGTGATGCTGACGGAACAGTGCCGTCGCGAGAGTCCCGCCTGAATTTCTTCGGCTTCCTCAGAAGGAGTCGGCGTGTTCTGGAATGACATGCTGTGCCCACTCGGATTGCGCTCGGCTGAAAGAGCGTCAATGGTGTCGCAGGTGGTACTTTCTACGGTGGATATCGTCGCCAGCCGTTAGGCCCCTGGACATGTCCTACGAGCTGCGAGAGCGACTGGGCAAGCGGACCTTTCGCTATGCTGCCGTCTCCAGGACGGGAATCTTCGAGGCCTTGTTGAGGCTCGAACCGGATGGTGAGCCGGGCGATGCACCTTTGGTCTGTCCGCTCCCGGTGTCTTTCCGATTCGACGCGGAGAGAAGTCGTGCATGGCACTTACCTTGCTGCTGGGACGCTGTGCAGTGCAACGTGCCGGTTTGGTTGGCGTGCTTTAGGAGACGGGCGACCGCGTCTTGCTCGGAGACCAGTGCTTGTTGACGAGCCTGTGGGATGAAATCCGACGTATGACAGAGAGGGCGAAAGTGAAATATAGAGAATCACTTTCCACTGGGTCATCTCACCTTCCCGATATGGGTGAGGATGTTTCCCTTTCCCGTGGTCTGAGGAGACGGGCTGTGGTGGACAGTCCCGAGGAACCATGAACTGCTCAGGGTGAATGGCAAGGACAAAGGCTTCAAGTGATGAATCATTCCCAGGAGGAGTACGCATGCGGAAGAGTATAGAGAGAACCTGAATTTGCGAACTCTCCTCCACCCGGCTACACATGGCAATCTACCAGCACCGTAGACCCAAACCGTTGACAAGTGATCCGAATGCGTTTACAAGGTGACACATTGCACGTAATCTACTCTGAGGATCACCCCCGGAGGGCACTTCATGACTACGGACATTACACCCGAAGGGTGTGCATACGGGCCGAAGGACCGGATGTGAAGAGTCACGTTGACGATTCCTCGATTGTGTAAATCGTTTACAAGCCGGTCTTCACGCGACGGGAGGAGCCAATGTCCGTGAGGGCACGCGACGGACACCACACAGTACAACAACTCACACACACCGAACGGTACACACACGACTGAGTGACAAACAAACAGCACAAACAACCTCGCCCAGTCACTCAGTCCCAACCGCGCACGTGAACAACTACAACCCTCGACCACCAATCACAGCCTGGGCCACGAGCGGAGCGAGTTCTGTCTGAGCCGGAGGCGAGATTGACGACTGGAGGGAAGTCAGAGGTACCGAGCAGGCGGCGAGGGACTAGTAAAGGGACGGAGTCACTTTTACTCTTGGGCCCCCTATTACTTAAGTTTGGTTTATAGGGGGCCATGGCACAACGGCCCAGCCCATAGGAACGGAAAGTCCCGCAAGGGGCAGAAGTGATGTACATAGCAGTATTGAACAGGCGGGGAAATACTTGGTCATAAGAACCAATCAGAGGGACGAAGGATGGTACGTCACAGAGTGTAGCTTGCCTTGGCTTGCATACACATCACATGCTGTGCGGGGCGGAACCCGGGCACGAGGGGGGAACACACTTCCGCAGAAGTACATAAAGAGGGCGTGCCGCCCACTTCCTTCCGACCTCAGACGGTCCGTTCTCTCCCATCTCGAGCAGGCTGCTCTTTGGCTTGATGCCCATACTGCCTTTTCCGTCAAGGAGCACGAAGACTCTTCTCTACGTTGCCCATCGTTTGGTTCGTGGGCAGCCAACCCCTCCCACCCCGGAGGACGGGACTATGCTAAAAGGGGAGTCGAGTAGACCTCCCGAGGTTCGCTTGTGCGTCACGGCAAATACCGCTGCTGGGACAGTTGTCTTCCCGGTCAAGGAACGCACTGTGTCGGACACTTCTTCCTCGTCAGATCACGATGCTGGGCACGGAGGCCCTGTGGGGGGTTTTGTACCCTGATTCTCTGTGGACCGAGTCAACGTTGCCGGTGAAGGAGGGGTTTGGCTTTGACTGTTGGTTCTTGGGCAGCATTGCCCGAGAACGTCCGAAGGTGAAGCGAGAGCTTGACCGGGCGCACGACGTCCTTGAGGTCAAGGATGACGACATGACTCGTTCGTTTACCGTCCTGCAGACGGAAGCTTGGGCGATTGCGCGCTTCGCGACCCGACACGTCCTGCCGACGTCTAAGTACGACACTCAGCCCCAGGTGCAAGCTGGCGGCTTGTGGGTGGCTAGCGACCGTGACGACCCCTATGATTGCTGTGAGCGCGTGTGCTTGGAACACGGCGTGGACTCGTTTGTCCATCTCTTCTTGCAGAACGCCACGAACTCGCGCATGCCGGCGAATCCAATCCCGGACGATCGGGTTTCGGTTCTCCGCGGACTCGTCTACGGGGTTTTCCGGGACCTCGCACACTGCTCTCTGCAGGACAGACCTTGTTGCAATCTGCTCCTTCGCCGGGAGAATCCTCAAGAACAAATCGCGATGAATGACGAGCAGGTGGACGCGCTATGGTGCGCTCACAGCTACTTTACCTTGGCTATTCTAGCGAGACATGTGCACAGCGTCAGCATGTACAAACTGTTTGTGGATCAGTTTCGGCGTTTGTGGGCTCGCGTGCTGCACGCCTTGGAGACGGGAGAAGATGCGCCCGGCCTTGCGAAGAAGTAACCACCCTGCTTGATCGTGGTGTTATAGATCACTCAATGGAACAAGAAGCGTGTATTTATACTGAATGGTTATGACAATACCAGGACATTCAATGTCCTCCTAAAGCGGCCTCAGACCGTTTACAAGTGCATGACACGCGTTTACAAGTGAATTGACTCCGAGAATTCCACTCTGAGGATAAACCCCGTAGGGCACATCACGACTATGGAATCAACCCCCGAAGGGGGTGCAGTGAGCCGAAGGTCGAACTGTGGAAGCCACGCTCAAGAATCTTCAATTGAGTAACGCGTTTACAAGGGAATCTACACAGAGAAGAGGAGCGAGCATCCGTCAGGGTGCGCGACGGACTCCCAACAACACAGTCACACCAAAGAACAATCGTGAATACGGACCGAGTGACGAATACCAACACGAACACACCACCCCAAGTCACTCGGTCATACACTCCACACCCAAACAGTACCCGTTGGGCCACGACCGGAGGGAGTTTTGTATGAGCGGAGCGAGTTGGACGACTGGAGGGAGCCCTTTGACGGAGTCAACAGTACCGAGCCGGAGGTGAGGGACACAAAGGGACGGGAAGTCACTGTCACCCCCGGGCCCCCTATTACTTAAGTTTGGTTTATAGGGGGCCTCTGCTCCATGGCCCAGCTCTAGACACCTTGCTTTAGCTTGGATGTAGTTTATAACAGTTTTGTACCGGAGGGGAGACACTGAGTCATAGGAAGGGACTTGACGGAGAGAAAGGACCACGTCGATTGGATAGCTTGTGCAACTTGCATATCCACCCCACTTACGGTCGGGTTGGTGCAACCCGGACACATCCAGCATACGGAGTATAAGACCAGGTGGTCGCCCACTTTCCTGAACCCGAGAAGGTTCACGCTTTCTCTTTCCACTCAGGCAGAGAGAGACACAACCCGCTCGGAGAAAGGGTAAACTGACGGTCGGGAGACGCCACCACATACACGGACGGACAAGCAGAAGCGATGGGAATCGGTACAGTCCATAAAGTCGTGGACGCAGGCGGCGCTTTTCATCGTGGAGATGTAGACGGACCGTCGTCCACTTGTTGCGGATGGGTTTTTACCATCGCCCAGTGGCAGCACATCCTGGATGCCTCTACGCTCTTGCGGCGGGAGCTGGAGGAGAGCCGCGCCTGGTCTGCTTTGTCGGATGATATGACCCGCCCGTTTGGCCAGCTCGAGAGAGCTGCACGAGGTATTATGTTCCGTGCTGCATCGTTTCTCCGGGACATCCCGGTTTGGCCATGTCGTATGGCTTTGCCGCATCAGCTGCAGGGTTTTGCAGCCCTACCCAAACGAGGCGGATCACAGCCTGGGCTGTCTTGTCTTTGCATTTCGCCGGTGCCACTTGGCTGGTTTGCGGGAAGACGACCGAGAGAGTGGTCTCTTTGCTGGACACGTTCTGGGCAGTGTACGGGCGTGTCTTTTGCAGGGCTATGGACCCGAAGAGGGCATCATTCGTGCATGTTGCGACCACGCCCGCTGCGTCAATCGCCTAGGTTTGACCAGTGTGACTCTTGAGCAGGCTCAAGGTCTTCTTTGTGTGTACACCCACTTGACGGCTCTTGCTTTCGCCGTGATGGCCGATAGCACTGATGCGGTGGAGACGTTGAAGGCCCGCTTTGACCGTCTCTGGAAGCGGGTGCATCATCTCCTGCTTGCCGGACAGGATGATCTCTGTCCTCGTTTGCCTACTTTGACTCGATAGTTTGTTGTCTGGAGTGCATCGTGAGCACGGACGGGGAAAGGAACGCGGTGCTGGCACGATCTCGACTTGTTCTCTTTGACTTGCAAAGGAGGAAGCCGGGTTGCATTCTGAATGCCTTGATGAATCGTCTGACTGTAGATTGGAGTAGGCCTCGCATCCGTTTACAAGTAGATCACGTAGATAGTGTACCCACCCTCGTTTACAAGATCATCCACTTCCTTCACTCTGTACTGAATTATCACCCCCGGAGGGCCCATTCACGACTATGGAATCAACCCCCCCGAAGGGGGGTGCAGACAGGCCGTAGGACTGGCTGTGAAGAGTCACACTCACGATATTCAATGGAATCAACTCGTTTACAAGGAAGTCGACACAAGACACGGGACTGGTGACCGCGACCGTATGGGAGCACGGGAACAATTGTTGGCAACCACAAGCACGAGAGCACCGAACAGAATGAGCGTCAACCTTCATACCATCTTCAATCGAACACAACCCGTTCACAACATCACTCACGTTCACGAAGCACACAAGACTGAGTGCAACGCCACACAACAGACCCACTCACGCACTCAGTCAATCCGCGTACGTGAACCACACACTACACATGACCAACCCCCAACCAATCACAGCCTGGGCCCACGACCGGAGGGAGTTTTGTATGAGCGGAGCGAGATCTGACGAGTGGAACGAGGAACTGGACGAGAGGAACGAGGACACTGTGACCGAGCCCGGAGGGTGAGATTGTGTGTGACGGGAGGTCACTCTGACTGCCGCGCCCCCTATATGCTTAAGTTTGGTTTATAGGGGGCCATGGCACAACGGCCCAGCCCCAGTCCTAGACACCTTGCGCAGCTTGAGTGTGGTACTAAATTGAAGTGACCGGCGGGAGCTCAATCGTACTAAGAGGCAGCCACACAGGGAGGGTGACGCCACGCACTCATTGGATAGTTTGCTGGCACAGCTTACATATCCATCACTCCACTTATGGACGGGTTCAGAACCCGGACACTCACACATACACGGAGTATAAGAACGGGAGTTCGCCCATCTCAATGAACCCAGGTGGTTTGATTTGACTCTTCCATCTTTCACCCGAGTGGGTGTTTCTTGGAGAACACAGCAACCGGAGGGTACACGTCAATATCCCCGGAGGGAAGTCTAGGGGAATCGAATCTCGGTCAAGAGACTGCACCCAGCAAGGTAAGGCCACAGACACGGAGGGATCGCCGGGGGCTCGACCCCCTCAGCGCGTACTTGCGCTTTCTGCTGTCTTTGGGACAGAAGGATAAGTTCTTCCTTTTATCGTTGTAGGAGACTACCCTTCACGTGCATGGAAGCAACGGTCGGAGACAAACAGACAGAGGATAAGGAGGGCTGCGCCCCTCTCAACCCAACACATCCGAGCAGGATTGATTTTTGTTTTATGTACCCAGGAAGGTACTCTGTGTGACAGAAAGCATTGAAGCAGAGGAACCCCTCCCGTCCCCGTGGGAACACCAAGGGACAAATAGAGTAAAGCGTCACGGGAGGAGCAGGAAGCAAGTTGACGAGACTTCTTCTCTTTTACGCAGTGCTGAGAGATTTCCTCTTCGTTTTGCTTGCCAAACGATACGGACAGATACCGTGGCGGGAGCTGCTCTTCCCCATCCAATTGGCAAAGGGTGGTGGTGACGGTGAGTCTTTCCCTGACTTGACCTGAAACCAGGGCAAGGGCGAGAGCCTGTTCCTTCATGCAGTGAAGGGCTGCATCTTGACTACTTCCTTGGCTATGTGCAACGGCTGAGAGTAGTCGCTCCGACGGGCAGGAGGTGATCTTGTTGACGTGCCCGGAGATTGATTGCACTGCTCTGAGCAGTCATCGAGCAGCAGACTCGGATCGTTCATCGACCGTAGCCCACCCGACAGAGACCCGGGGGGAGACGAGTGGCCCACACTCCGCTGGGGACACAGTACACACGCAGCAGCGCATTGGTCCGGCCACACAATCGCCCCGTACACACCCCCACCTGCCCAAAACAGACTTGGGAATGGCCTCACTTCCTCGTAAACATGTAGACTCAACCATGCAAGGATAGACGGGTAGAGACACACTAAGGGACGGGATGACGGGAGGAATCTACACTAAACCCCGAACATATCAATCGCAGATAGTAGATTGAACTGTCCTGGTCACCGCATCCACTTGGCTACAGATAAACATCACCAAGAACGTAGACCCAAACCCTCACGTAGACAGCCTAAGCGTTTACAAGATCATGAGCTTCAAGTACAACACCCTGAGCATAAGCCCCGCAGGGCATTTCAGAGCTACGGAATCAACCCCCCGCAGGGGGTGCGCACGCGCCGAAGGTGCGGGTGTGAAGAGCCACGCTCAAGCACAGAGACTGAGGAAGTCCGTTTACAAGTGGAGCACACAAGAGGAACACTCTTGACCACGCGAGTGAACACGAGCAAGGGAACAACAGTGCAAAGACAGACACAGACAGGAACCAATACACCAACCCAGATGAAGTCACTCTCCCGTACAACCCACACCCACGCACAACCCGTTGGGCCCGCGACTGGAGGGAGCCCTTCGACCGGAGGGAGTTTTGAACGAGTGGAACGAGGTCAAAGGTACCGATCCGGAGGTGAGGGACACAGAGGGACGGGAGGTCACTCTGACTGCCGCGCCCCCTATATGCTTAAGTTTGGTTTATAGGGGGCCATGGCACAACGGCCCAGCCCATAGAGCAGGATGAACGCACGTGATTCACTGCAGTAGTAGACCGGAGCGACAGGGGAGAGCACAGGTAGTCATAGCAGCGCATCCGACAGGGGGGAGGTCGCGGGTCCAATGAGGGCAGGTTACGCCAGTTTCCTTGCCCCCACACTTGGCCGGGTTGGAACCCGGACAGACACAACACACGCGGCTTGGGACAAAGCCATATAAAGGGGAGGACACCCCCCCGAGCAGAGCGACCATCAGGAGGACTCGCACCTGTTTTTCTTTTTTGGAATTCTCAGTCAGCATCACGGAACTGCACCATTCTTTCCCAGCGGAAAGAGAGACAATCCAGGGTAGGTCTAGCCCTCTTCCCAGGGAACGGAAGGGACGAATAATAGTCCGGAGGAACCTGCTTCTGTAAGCAGATAGTCACGTGACCGCGCGTCGTTCCTAGGGTGACACGCATGTTTTGGGAGATCCTGCGGGGCTGGCTTCACTCATGGTGGTCATCGCCATTACTGTCGTCTCCTACTGATCAAGCAGATCTAGTTAGCACCGGCAGTGCTTTTTCTTTCACATCTCTTCAATCAGCGATGGAGGCAGCACCAGCCCTTCCACAGCCCTCTTTTCCGCGGGTGGCGGACAGTTTATCGGCTTTGTCCGAGGAGTTCTCGCGGTGTCAGAACCTGCCGGCGGTCGATGGTGGTCTTCGACTCACACAAGCGCTTGAAGCGATACGAAATGACTTGCGGTCTGAGATGCGCATAATGCGGAATGAGATGCAGACAATCAGCAGGAAGCTGGACGGCTTGGACCACAAAGTAGATGGTTTGGATCGGAAGGTAACGGTCTCGTAAGTCGAGCCGTGAGTTTTCTTCTCAGCATCGGTTGCTGACTTCTTCCCCGTTCGGTAGGAACCGGAACGCAGTGGTGCGAGCTCGGAATGGCACGGTTGTCCGCGGAGACATGGACCTGGTGCCCCTGCACAGCGTTCTCACGGGCGAAGTGATCGATGATTTTCCCGACAACGTGGATCAACTGGAGCGACTGCATGGTGAGTTGACGTCCCCGGTCTTCAGGTGCTATACTCATCGTTTTCATGATAGCGCGAGACGTAGATCAGTTGCTGCGCCACCTAGGGGAACCTGTGACAGGCTCGGCAGCGGAGAAGAAGAGGAATCTGAAGTTTGCGACAGGGCTAGTGACACGGGAGCTGTGATGCTTCTTCTTTGTCTTTTCTTGTATGCCCGAGGGCTTCTTTCCGATAGCGTTGGCGTTTAGGAACTTTAACCGGATGGGGACTTGACGATCCCCTCACTTGGTGACCAAACAACGTTTATAAGTAGAGCCGAAAAGATAGCATGCCTGCAACCGTTTGCAAGAGGATATTTTGCAAGAGACATTACTCTGTTACAAGGGAGTAAACAATACTGTAGCCTTTTAATAACCGCTTGACCATAGATTCTTTTCTTTTCTTAAGCGTTTACAAGAACACTACGCTGCAAGGGCTACAGACAATCGTTTCCAATCCCACTCATGACTACGGAATCAACCCCCCGAAGGGGGTGCGACCAGGACGCAGTACTGGGCGTGGAGAGCCGCGCTGCAAGAGACTCAGATCCAGTCAACACGTTTACAAGCACATCCACGTTCACGAAGCACACAACACTGAGTGACGAACCACCCACAACACAACCTCACCCAGTCACTCAATCACACCCGCACACGTGAACACCATACAACCCGCACCAGCCAATCACACACTGGGCCCACGACTGGAAGGAGCCCTTCGACCGGAGGGAGTTTTGAGCGAGTGGAACGAGGTCACCAGTACACGACAGGAAGGAGTGGACACAAAGAGACGGGAGGTCGCTTTGACTGCCAGGCCCCCTATTACTTAAGTTTGGTTTATAGGGGGCCTCTGCTCCATGGCCCAGTCTTTAGACACCTTTCACGCACGTGATTGAGTGTAGTACTAAGCAGAAACGACGGGGGGGAGTGCATGCAGTCATAAGAGCCAATCGAACGGAGGGCAGATGGCGCGTCACACATGCAGGTTACGTAGTTTCACTGCATACCCCACTACTGGACGGGCGCAGAGCCCGGACACTGTACGCGTCGGAGACATAAGAAGAGGATTCGCCCACTCACTTGAACCTTGGATGGTTCATTCCTTCATCCACCTTCCATATGGAAGCTGTCGGCTCTCGGCATCAGGGGAGCGGGAAATTCCCGGTGGAACTGTTTTTCTTTTTGTGTACTCACTCTGCACAGGCCTCCTTCACTCGCGTGAGTCAAGATGGATTGACTGGTCTACCAGCCCGAACGCGTCCTTTGTCTCTCTAGAGACGCGCTACGCACTATTTATCGGGTTAGGTGCCCGCTTGCTGTCATCTGTGCTGGGCACAGTCTTGACTCTTGCCATTTCACCACACCCGGCGACCGAGCAGAGCTGGCTTGGCCTACAACTTCACGCACTTTTCTCCAGCGGAGCTTCGACAGGAGTCTTCCTCTTCCTGTTGGTGTATAGTGGGCAGCATGGGTCTGCCACCTTTTCATGGGACAGTTTCTGCCTACTGTCCTCCACTTCTCACCTCATGGACGGGGGACTGCGACTGTTGCGATCACTCGTTTTGTTGGCGCCCGAGGCTCAGCGCTGGTGCGAGCGATGGGTTTTTATTCTGTCAGTGACGAGACAGAATCTTTCAACCCTCTGTCTGTTCGCGAGACTGAGGACTCCTCGGTCCCAGGAGCTTCGTCTACTGGGCGGCACAGCGTGCACAGGACGGCCTCTTTTTCCACAGAGTGTTGTTGCATCTCGGTTCGGATGACGCAGGGCTCAGCTACGAAGAGAGTGGTGCCTTGCAGCATCATATGGGGTCAGCGCCAGATGCCGGTATTGCTGCGGACTCGGATTTCTCGGAGGCCATTGTTGCGCGGCTGTCTTGCTGCGCGGAGCAGAGGAGGGTGCAAGTCCTTTTCTGGGCTTCTCACATGGTCAGGGACGGTACGGTCAGCTCTGGCTGTGAAGGGCTCCTCCCTATTCTCTTGCATGATATACAGAAGGCTGGTGCCTCGAAGGCATAGTTTGTCTATAATGTGTGGCTTTCATTGGGGATTTTCATTTGTGTGTTGGGAGCGTCGGCGCTGCGGAGACCTTTCCTATTTTGGATGTCACGATGGCTTCACTTAGGCATGCACTCACACAGAGTAAGGCCTGTAGTAGAGATACACTTCACCCGACCCTGCACTCCACTCGTGCATCTGGCTAGACAATACACGGCTACAGATGGTCATTCCAGACATGCGTAGTCTTTTACAAGAGCGTTCATTCAATCCCTCCAGGACAGACAAATGTCACAAAGATCGTAGACTCTCGACCGTTTACAAGGTCAAACCCTTCCCGGCTACCACTTTGATGATCACCCCGGAATCCTTCACCACTATGGACATTACCTCCGAAGGAGGTGCATCGAGCCGGAGGTCGAGATGTGGAGAGCCACGCTCACGACTCTTCAATCGAGTATGACGTTTACATGACAGTAGAGACACCACAAGAGGAGCAAACGGAGTGCGACGGACACAGACACGCGTGCCGGCAGACTCAAAGTCAACAACACCACACGTGAAAGTCACTCGTCCCTACAAGCACACAGACCAATCACACACTGGGCCATCCGACTGGAGGAGGAAGACGACCGGAGGGAGATTTGGACGACCAGAGGGAGGTCAACAGTACCGAGCCGGAGGTGAGGGACACAAAGAGACGGGAGGTCGCTTTGACTGCCAGGCCCCCTATTACTTAAGTTTGGTTTATAGGGGGCCTCTGCTCCATGGCCCAGTCTTTAGACACCTTTCACGCACGTGATTGAGTGTAGTACTAAGCAGAAACGACGGGGGGGAGTGCATGCAGTCATAAGAGCCAATCGAACGGAGGGCAGATGGCGCGTCACACATGCAGGTTACGTAGTTTCACTGCATACCCCACTACTGGACGGGCGCAGAGCCCGGACACTGTACGCGTCGGAGACATAAGAAGAGGATTCGCCCACTCACTTGAACCTTGGATGGTTCATTCCTTCATCCACCTTCCATATGGAAGCTGTCGGCTCTCGGCATCAGGAGCGGGAAATTCCCGGTGGAACTGTTTTTCTTTTTGTGTACTCACTCTGCACAGGCCTCCTTCACTCGCGTGAGTCAAGATGGATTGACTGGTCTACCAGCCCGAACGCGTCCTTTGTCTCTCTAGAGACGCGCTACGGAGTAAGTTAGGGGCCGAGGTGCCCATATATTGTTTACATTTGTGCTGGACACAAATCTTCTCCTTTCACTTCACCTAGCGGCCGGGCAGCCTTGATCTGGCCTCCCAACTCTACGTACGTACGTTCCCGGAGCGGAGCCTGGGCCAGAGTCTCTTCGGTTCGTCAATTTTGGGCAGCATGGATCTGCCAGCTTCCTGCGAGACAATTTTTGCCCGCCCTTCTCTGCCCACGGCAAGGACACGAGACCGCGGATGCTGCTGCAGCCATCCGTTTTGTTGTTCTCTACGGATTCAGCGCTTCTGCGAGCGGTGGCTTTTTCTCCTGTTGGTGACAACACACAAGCGCTCGGCTTCTTCTTTTTCGGAGACTCTAAGGGACTGTCTGGGTCCCAGGGACTTTTCTACTCGGTGGCGCAGCGTGCGCAGGATGGCCTCTTCATCCACAGGGTTCTACTGTGGGCTGGCCCGAACGCCGGAGGTTCAGTCGCGAGGATTGCTGCACGCTGCAGACTCGGCTTGGACCTTCACTTCCTCCAGTTGCTGACAATGAGTCGGCCGGTTCGGACTGTATTGCTGTGCCACTATCATGCTGTATGGAGCAGATGAAGGCGCATTTGCCTTTGGATTTTTCACATGACCACGGAAGGAACTGTCACCTTTGGTTGTGATGGGCTTTTGAACAAGCTCTTGGATGAGATACGGGGCGAGAGTGAGACTGATAGATGACTTTGGTCATCGTTATATTCATTTTGCATGACGTTGGTGTTCAACGGTTTTCCTTTTTCGGATATCACGATGGCTTCGTTTTAACGTAGATGAAAAGACCGATCCAGAATAGCGGCAGCACGGTCAATTGACTGTATCCACGAACATGGTAGAATCATAGACTTCACACCGAGGATTATAATCACACATGCGTTTACAAGTATTCCGTAGACGTTTACAAGGGAAACCCTTCGCGTAATCCACCTGGTATGATCAACCCCGTAGGCCCAGGCAGGACTATGGAAACAATCCCCCAAAGGGGGTGCGACCGAGCCGAAGGTTCGGGCGTGAGAAGCCACACTGACTCTCCAACCAACACAGCCCGTTTACAAGCACATCCACGTTCACGAAGCACAACACACTGAATGACGAACGACACACAACAGACAACTCCACCCAGTCACTCAGTCACACCCGCGCACGTGAACACCATACAACCCTCAACAACCAATCACACACTGGGCCCGCGACGGGACGGAGCATGTCTGAGCGGAGCGAGTCTTTGCACGACTGGAGGGAGTCAAAGGTACCGCAGCTGGAGGCGAGGATTGTGAGAGGGACGGAGTCACTCGGACACCCAGGCCCCCTATTACTTAAGTTTGGTTTATAGGGGGCCATGGCACAACGGCCCAGCCCATAGACAGCATGAACGCACGTGATTGACTGTGGTCCTAGCAGTGTTGGACTGGAGGGGAGATACTGAGTCATAAGAGGCAATCAGACGGGAGGGATGAGCCGCGTTTCTATTCGTCAGCTTCCAACGTAGTGGTTGCTTGATCGGATCCACTTACGGACGGGTTAGAACCCGGACACTTACGGTAGACCAGAGGTATAAGAAGAGGACTTCGCCCACTTTCAGACTGGAACCGGAGATGGTTCTCTTCCTCTTTCTTCACTCCTTGAGAAGTGGTATTGTCTCCGGAGGAACTGCTGAGGCAAAGGTCTAGTAAGACACACGGAGTGAAAGGACAAGGGAGAGGTGACTCTCCCGCACTCGTTTACAGAGGTGGGACAGCTCAGTGCAAGTGCACATCGGACCGGGCGACAGCCGACAACCCAGCAAGGTTGACATGATGCATCATGGCGAGGAAAAGGACGCGGGGCGTCGTCTTGTGCAGTACGAGAGTGACTCTGGATCGGATTCCAGCAGCACAATACAGGAGTATTACAGTCCCCGGGAGGGGATGAGCGAC